CCTGGAATCGCCCCAACTGATTGCCTCCAAAGAAATGTGATACAGCCTAAATGCGAACGTAAAAACAGTTGTTCTTAAGTAAGCAGTTACAAGGTTGAAGATGGCCGGCGTTCTCGCGCTATCATTTCTTACACAATCGTCTCTACCTTCTTTTGTATGAACTCTCGTAGCCGTGCTCATAACACTTACCAGCAAAGCCCTTCTCAACCTTAGAAATGGACCGCATAACAAGAGAATGTCAGCAAAAGCAAACGCAAAGACAACTGTCAAAATGTGTCAATACCAGTAAAACACTAACCATTTGCACCCGATGAAGAAGAGGGGAAAGAGGTAGGTAAAGGATCAGCATTTGAGAACTTTTCCCGCCTATTCTTCTGGTGTTTCAAATTCTGAATAAATCCAGATTTAGAACAGATTAATTTTACAGCAGAGGAATAACCTACTTCTGTACTTATTTCCAGGACGCTTTGGAAATCTTTACTGACGCTGGCTAACTTGGATTGCAGCCCAACAACAACTAATTGACTGAAACGGTATTTCCATTACTCTTCACGTGGGAGTGAAACAACTTTCAAGTTAAAACTTACGAATGACCCGTTCCTTGATTCTTTGTACCAGCATTACGCTCTCTGGAAAATTCTTGCAAAGCGGCTATTTGCTTATTTAAGCTGGTGATGTCCTGAAGTGTAAACATTCAGGCCCATTTTAAGTAAAACAGGGCGAAAGGTGAACCTCAAATCACCTCCTTGACAACTCTGGAGAGATGATCCATGTCACTTTTTTCATCGAAAAGGCTTTTCTTTTTGGCCATTTCGGCTAGCCTCTCCATCTTTGCGCATGTCTGGCTTAAATCGCGTCCAATTCTTCTGAAAGAAGTGACAAACCGTGCTTGAAGTCAGTCCAAGAAAGCATCAACATTATAAGAGAATGTGCGAGGAGTTTATCGACGCTCTTCAGCTTGGGAAGACATTTTTATAAAGCTCTAGTTTCCTTCACTAGTTCCTGCTGGCTTATGCGTCCCACCTTGGTGAGACCGATGAACTCCTGTCAAGTTTAAACGAAGCTCGTGCTAATCGTAGCTTCACAGAAGTTCATAGGTCTCCAAAAGAGACATCGTTAACGATCGATGAGAACCACAAATGCCCGCATGCCAAGCACTAGAACCCACATAAAAAAACTTACTTTGCCAATTGATTGAAGTGCACTGAACTATTGAGAATTTCCTTCTTGGTGTGCGGAACAAAGCCATTTGAGTGAATCTTCATCTGAACAGTAACATGAGTTAGAAGTTAACCCCAACGCTCGCAGTTGCACACATAACTGCACGTGTCTTGCGCCTTTTCGCTCATCGACCTGAGCAATGGGCTTATTCTTGTCGGCTCAACATAACGTATAATTAAGCGACTTTAGTTTCTTTCAGGCTTTCTGAAATGAGTTTCCAGAGTAGCATGCCACTATTACCGTTCTTCTCTACAGCACAATAAATGGTTAACTTTTCAAGAAAATTAATTTGTAAAAAGGGCATACTACAATAATTCCAACACCTCAAAAAGAGTAAATCTTTGTGGAGATGTGTCACAAAGGGTAGCTAATAACAGATTCAGAGAAGATATCGCTGGATGGCAGAATCTGATCTTCTAAGCCTCCTCATGAAATTCACACTGCGCCCTTGTGGAGAGTCGCATATTATGCTGAATTCATTGGGTCGCCAGCCCACTTGGGGTTCAAGCCCGGCAGTTGTGGAGAGGGCTTCGTAAGCGGCCGCCAATTCCTCGTAAACATAATAACATGTCACGAGTCTTACCTATTAAACGGATTTCTGCTGGAACATCGCACCACCCAGAACAAATACTAGACTCAACTACCCAGAAGCTCCTCCCCGGGTATTCGGAACAAATCGTAATCCTGGCTCACCTAAGTTTCTTCTTACTTTCCCACACTGAGTGTTGGCTAACCTGAGAAAAACAAGGAAGAAATGGAGTGGCAACAAAGCCCGTGTCTTTCCTAATTTCACAAGAGCTTCCTACATACACGAAGCGCCCCAGCAAGAGTTTGCAGGTCTCCAACGGCGGGAGATGGAATGGATGCTCCTCCGACTAAGTTGCACTTCATCATATTATGTCCTTTAATTCTTCCAAGCGAGATGTCAGATCGGGATCCATTTCGGGCTGATGTTTTTGTTAGGGCAGACAGTGATCTTAGAGCTACTCCAACTTTCTAAAGAAGCGGGAAGGCCGAAAAGGCCGTCTCATAAAGTTTCAACTAACCCGTTTAGTAGAAAAAATACTATTCTTAAGCACCTTCTCAAAAAAACAAGTGGAATAGCAAATTTGCACGAACCTGCAAGGATTTGCATGTTGTCCTGAACTCGGCAGTTCTGTCCCTTGACGGCATTGTAAAACTGAGTGAATCTAGCGGATCTCCAAATACACTTAACACAGGAAAGGCTTTCTCAGTCGTTGAATCTTCTAACGGTAGCTGCTCAGAAGGATAATACAGCGGGGATGGGATCGAGGAGATGGCTTCCTAAATTGTGAAGGGGATCAATATCGTGCGAACATTTACAGTGTGTGCAGAATCCATCGATCTCAAGCGGAGATAAAATCCAAAAGAATGCAGCAAGATTAGTTCCACTAATGACTCATGGGCTTTTAAGCCATATAACTTCATGAAAAACATAAATTCTCGAAAAGAATGAGAAAAACAAACAAACCTGCGCGGAATTCCAAAGCTGAGTAGGGGAAGCTCCAAAAACGGTACTACTTAGTGAAGTATAGTTTCCAAAAAATGACGGAGTTACACTAGCTGACTCCTTTTTGGTGTCGTGATCAAAAACGACAGATGATACTGCGTGTGATGTGGAACCGGTATCGTCAACACGTCGCCGTGATCTAATAAAGGAATCCGACATTCGACATTAACCTCTCCGACTGAAATGAAAAATATTTTGATCCAATAATTAACAAGAAAGAGCCCAGAAACCATGAAACCCGTTTCTCAGAACACAAGACAAACAATTTGACACTTGGAAGTTAAAAATACCGGGTATCGATCGAAACATATGATTCCGTACGCGTTGCGTGTTCGGCATAACACGCCGCAGATGAATTTTCTTCTTTTATTTCCTACATTTGTGCTTTTCAACTCAGGTTTTCATACTTTTTCCAGAGCTACATACCACCGCACTCCGAAAAGACAGAGCGGTCAGGGTTTAAGAGAAAAGTGCTCGAAAGAGGAGTGAGTTGATTTGGAGATACCGTAGTAGGGAAGGACACGTTTGCTTTAGTTACCGTATTCCTCGAGCCTTACGGGGGTCACACATCCTGTTTGTTCATGCTTGACCATTCATCTCTGGATGTTTTGCTTGAGTATTTCGTCGCTTTTAATGTGACCTACTCTTAAATTCCAATTTCTCATTTGTTTACACATGTACAACCACTGGACGTCATGCGTTGGGAGTCCGAGAGGGCATATTTTGGTAAGCGAAGGGGCGCAGTTCGGCGATGGGGGGGGTATTTTGCATATGTTTTTTTTTTATTTTTTTATTTTTTTTTTTTTTTTTTTTTTTTGCAGCTTTTGCTACTTCCCATCGATGTGTCGAGCCAATCTTGTACAGCCACGAAATAATACCAGCCAATGCGTGTAACCTGCCAACTCTCGTGAAGAGTAAGAGTGTTGCAAGGGAGCTGACGATTGTCGCCTTTCTACAGTTTTTTTTTTTGTTTCATGTACGTTGTACACCCCTCCTCTTGGCAGTTTTCTTTAAAAGACCATAGAAAAGTGATATGAAGTTGTAAGTATTTGGGAAGGTGGCTGGTATCAGAGACCTATGCTAAGTTGTGTGCAGAAGGCTTGTTTATCCTTTATACAAGAAAGAAGACTAAACCTGGACAGCGCTCGAGCCTGGACCTCCTACTTGCCGGCCTAGTATGCTAATCATTACACTAACCTCTCAGCTCAACGGGATGTTGCCTGAAGGCTTTTCAGCTCTATTTGTATGAGGACCACGTTCAGGTCCTTGCTGAAGCAAAGTTCCTACCCATAATTCAGCGTCCCTTTGATAACTTTCGAGTCATTCTTGTGGCGAAAGTAGCACTCATTGTAACAAGATGAAGACTTACAAGACTGCATTTCCGAAGCTGCACTTTCGGTTGGCGAGGCTCTTTCTCTTTTCCTCAAAGTTGTTCATACGTAGCGATTGAGTCGCGTGATCAGATCGATCAACGGGTGAAGTATGAACGCACTCTTACAACGTTGTGGTCCTTTGAGTGATCTTTAATAACTTACCCTCACGTCTTCGATGAACTTCGGCCAAGTTTTCGCCTTTTTTGGCATTTTTCAAACCAGTTTTTGGCGTAGTTTTCATAAAAAGGTCGTGTATCTCACCAACCCGCATGCATGACCGGTGTTTTCTATGAGTTGAACATTTACAGGTATGCTCCTCTTGGGTTACCTGTTGGCACTACTTCCTGTTGTGGTTGCTCATCAAGCCGCCCATTTCCCTGGACAGGATGCGAATAAACCTCCTGAGGTACTTTTATTTTCTTATTCTACGGTCCTACTTGGTTTTAACCTCTTTCTTGATCGGCTACAGTTAGTACCCTTTGTGAGCGGCAGTATGACAGAACTTTTTCTCGCTCTCCATCGTCGGTGAAAGAAATAACTGACTGCGGTAATCCCAAAAAATGACTGCGAGTAAACCAAAAGTCGCTTTTTTGAACGGTTTTCAGGCATTTAACTTGATCAAAGCCGACAATCTGATCAGAGCTGATAAGCTTTCAAGAAACTCTTAGGTATTTTCTGGCACAATTTATGTGTGAAAACACAGTTTTTTGCCCAGACTGGAGAACACAAATACAGCTGCTAAAAAGTGGCCAATTTCCGTTTGGTTGGGCATCGAATGGTTCTTAGCTGGGCTTGTGCTGCGATTTTGGGAAAATTTATAAATCCCTGTAACCAACGCGGCTTGCTGGTACATATCACTTCATAGCTTCGAAGAACTTTACAGGTCTCACTTTGGTTTGACCTGATATTCAACATGAGCTAACAAAAGAAGCTAGCGAAAGTGCAAAATGCCCTCTCCGAGCCCCACTAAGCCAAAATTGTAATTTAGGCTTCTTTTTTGGTATTGTTCTAACATGAATTTGGGAATATCGTTTGGACAAACTGACATACGTTCCATTATCTTGTAATTGCTCATGGTTATCACCACTTATCAACACTTTCATTCTTGGGGATCATAAGGCTTCTTTCCTTATGAAAAAGAGAAAGGGAAGGAACTGCTAGTGGGCGAGAAGCGTTACCAAAGCGGAGAGAAAGAGAGGGAGTGAGAGAGGAGCTTGTAAGTTGGACAATAATGTCATTTTTCTTCAGGTGCATCATCAGCAACCACCACAGCAGCAGCAGGTATGTGTAGACACTTGGTAGTTACTTATATTGCTTTTTTTACTTATTTGAACTTCTTTTCTCTGAGAGTCTACTGTACTTCGGGGTGACCGATGTGATCTTAGCAGTTCATTTGTTGTGACCAGTTCGCGGGAAGGCATTGAATTTTTTGATCGAACTACTACTTTTTATTTGCACAGTGCAACTCTTCTTTTTCGGAGGCACCGAAGTAGCATGCACTGGTAGTTGAAGTGCTCATTCGCATCCGTCGCGACCTATCTGAGGTTGTGGCGAAGGACTGTGTGTGACACGGGATGATCTCTTACTTGTAGGTGGTTGAATTTGGGAATGAGGTAGTCCAAAGGGTAGGACTAGTAGAATACAATCGAATCCGAACGTGCTTAGGCGTAGTTCAGCAACTGGGGAGGGGGGGGGGGCTTTTTGAACTTTTGCTGCTTCACCGGATCCGATTTACAAGTCTCGCTCCGATGAAACCTGTGAACACTTGTAAATCTAGATGAACCTGTAGCAAATTCGTCGAGCCATCGTGATGAATGCTACTTGTACGGTATTTCGTATCTATATAGGTGCTGACAGGTGATCTCTACAAACTTTGACTGCTATCATTCCGCGAGTTCAGAAGATTCCACAGGTCTCCACTGGATGGCTCGATGTAAAGTAGTAAAGGTGCAAAATGCCCACCCCTAGTCGCCGATCTGCCCCTGCGCTTTTGAATCTGATTAAAAGGTATGTCACTTCTGGAACATCTGCTACCTACGAGTTCTAATCTCATGCCATTATTGCATCTATGGGGTCATAAGTGGTGCCCAGATCGGGTAAGGCTGCGCCGTTATGTTCTAGGAGTCAAGAGTGATCAAAAGAATCCTGCAGGAGCTACCAAAGCAAACATGGTTTGTTAGCTTGGCGCTCATATGCTGCATCCTGTACTGTTTTCTACCCTCAAGTCGGGAAATATTGTTGTCCTTTTTAACTTGTTCCACAGTTCATTCCCTCCCCCCCCCCCCCCCCCCTGTTCTTTGTATTTGAGATTCCCTGCTCATCTGCCCGCAGACCCTCGAAGACTTGCTCGCGCACTTTCGTCTTTCCCATCAAAATGTTACGAACTTACATCTTACGTTGATCACTTACCTTCGCATCCGCTAAAGGTTTCGCTTGTTTTCTTATGGTATTTTTGTACTCGAACTCGATTTGAGTTTTGACAACGGCTGCTCAATTTTCGACAACAGGATCACAGTACATCTCTTCATTGTAGGTCTATCAGCAGCAGCACGCATGCTCAGCCAGGTTTCTTTTGATTAGTTTCGCATTAATATGCTTGTTTTGAGATAAGTGTCTTACACTGCGGTGCTTTGGTTTTGCTCACAAGGTAGAGACCCAGTGTTTCATGATCATCACATTTCGCTAATCACGTGGTCCGAGCGATCGGATCGCGAAGTATGAACGCGCTCTCAACAACAAGCGCATCTTTTGATATTGTTTGTCCATGAGCGAGGGCCTGGTCGACAACGGGCTTCGAAATTTTTGATTAAATTGTGTTCAAGAAATCCTATTAGAATTTGGCACAGCGCAAGGGCCCATTTAGTGTTTAGTCTGACATTTTGGCTTCACTAATACGATTGCCGCCGTTCCGACTGTGTTATTTTGCATTTAATATCGTTAATGGTTTATCAGGGTCATATTCTTTGTTCGTAATCTTGGGTGTATGTTCGCGAGACATCCCAAACGAATCGCGGCAAGGATTGTTTGTTGAAAAAGTTGTTCATATGTGTTCGGTATCTCACCAGGACTCCACTGGAGTTCAACACCAGCAACTGCTGCCCGAGTGTCGAGGTTTAAAACTAGCCGGAGATAGGTATTCGCGCTCGCCGCGGCTTCGGATGTCCTGATTCAATTCTGGAGTCTGAGTTGTGAAGAGATCTCAAGTGAAAGTTTTTTAGGGTCCAGTCGAGCAGCCCACCTGTTTCAACAGTTTATTACTGTGTCCTTGTAGTGTTGTTTGCCTAACATATGCTTGATTTCATTATATGTCAACGGGTTTTGGGTTTTGTCGTATAGTTGAGTAATTCAAAATGGTTTAGTCATTTAGGTTCAGCCAGCACAACAACCACCTCCGCCTCAAACAGCGTTGATACAATTTTACTGCGATACTCCGTTCGTCTACTTTATGAGGGATAAATCGATTAAGAATGACAGGGCGCGCGGGTAAATGACGACAGGGAATCTGTCCTTGGCAGAGTGGCGTTGGCGACGGTGGAGTTCCAATATCATCCATAGTGTAGCGATTGATGTTAGCAACACACATGAAGCACACCTATTCGGATTACGCTTTGCGGGCGCGTCCCTCCTCTTGCCGCATCCATGCTGGGGATGACGGTGATCAAAGAAAGTCGTAGGTAATTTGCCGCTGCTTGTCACGATTGGCGGACCTTGCGCGACAACGGAACAAATCTGACGCAAGCAAACCACCCGGGCATGTGGTACAGATCGGTCGATAACCGCAAAACGGCACCTGAATTCGAAGTGCAAGTAACGCTCCACGATACTATACGATCACTCCATATCCCGAATCAGCGGCCCAGAATGGCACTCGTCAATCCACAGATCGCAACTCGTGCTGGTTCGCTGTCACCACGCCCACCGCACATCCATTGTCTTGCCATAGAGTCCAGATTTTATTGGCTCAAGAGGTGGGAGAGTCCATACATCTTTCCCTGGATTGGCTCAAATGCACCGCAACATGTTTTCAACTGATTTGTTATGGAAAAAGGTCTGTTTGAAAAATGGAGCAATTTTTAGTACCAGCAGCAGCAGCCTCCACCAGTCCAACAGGTATCAGTAATTTATCGCAAAGCATCCACATAACAGCTATTTGTCGTTCTCTAACTCCTTCAGAGTAAACACTGTTTTGTGGGCGAGTGGAAATGAAATGGCAGCTGAACCATCGTACGTGCACACCCGCACACAGGCTTGTGTCAGGAGGTGTGGTTTGAGTCCACTCGCTACGTTCCTAACCACTAGTTGTTCTATAATTTTATTTGCCATCATTGGTAGAAAAAGCAGCCGTCTGCGGGTCATCCACTCGCTCCCTGAATCATTGTGACGTATTTATGATATATCTCATATCTCATTGTTGTAGGTTCACCAACAGCAGCCTCCGATTGATCAGCAGGTTTACATAGTTTCTTGAGAAAGCGCACCTAATGACGGCTGGTGTTATCAGAGGCACATTACATGCTCCTCCTTTTTTACTTGGTAAAGAGGAGAGGCGCGCTAATGAGTTGGAGGGGCAGGCACATTGGTGACGGCGCCTCACTGCATGTAATGTTGCGGCTAAATTCCTGAATAGACTGGGTTTGCTGGTTAGATCAGGACTGAGAGTGTCCTTATATTGTATTTTCAAGGACAAACTCTCCTAGTTCAGGCCTCTTTTTAGGTCCATCAACAGCAGCAAGCACCCCCTCAACAGGTTTTTAGATTTATCCACTTCAGGCTCATCTAACAGCGGCTTATATCGTTTTAATATCTAATTGGGTTGATGGTTGATCTGCTAACCTTAAGAAACACTGGTCAGCTCAAGGCTGCGTTTATACCTTTTGTCGGCGTTTCGAGTGTTTTTGCGCGAAAAGATGATATGGGTATCGATCTGTCTGGGTTTTGTTTCGAGAACGTTGTGGATATCGATCCTTCAGAGAAAGTGGGCAGGGTTTCCCATGGTGGACGGGGCTTGACCATCGTGGGCTTTGTATGGCGTATGGAAGTGATGGTGGCTGTGATGTAGCGAGATGATGCTGTGGCATTGTAATGATAGCTACCTTTGCAACTTTTTTCAATTATGTTTACGACGGATAGTTGTTGCGAAGAAACATATAAGTCTGAAAGGAGCGGTCAAGGTGCCAGAAGCTAGAATGCATCTTCTAAGTATTGCACTTTATATGTACATCATTACTTTGATAGTTTTGGGAAGGCTAGATCGATAACTATACCTTCGTTTTTTCCCTAAATGCTCGATCACTCGAATGCCAATGAAAAGTATGAACGCCGCCTAAAAGTTCCACGTGAGGTCCATGGCGAGGCTCCTACAGTTTTTCTTCTGTTTTAGGTCCATCAACAGCAGCAACCGCCCCAACAACAGGTTTCTAATTTTTTTTTTTGCGCGTGAAACTCGTTTAACAAGTGCTTGTTCAAATTAATGTCATGTTATTATTTATTTCTAATTTGTGCCTGTGACTGGCACGCGTCCAAAAGTTTAAAAATGTGAATGTTGCTTGTTATTTGTTATTCCTTCAGATTCATATAATTCCATCATTTGTAGGTCCACCAACAGCAACAGCCTCCCCCTCAACAGGTTGTTAAAATTAATTGTAAAGTGTTCCCTTAACTGTGGCTTTTCTGAGTGAAATGTCTCATGAATTGGGTTGGTGGGGTCCTGACGTGCTAATCGTGTCTGGAGCTGATTAACCCGCAATTGCCTTGACATTTATGTCCACTTAGAAGTTTTAACTTTGCTGCTGTTTTAGGTCCATCAACAGCAGCAGCCACCACCTCAACAGGTTTCTAAATTTATATGCGTTAAAAATCATTTAACCGCTGCTGTGTCGTTTTGATGTGTCCAATTGGTTGGGTTGATGGATTCATAACTGTAGAAATTATGTGCAGTATTGGTTAACTCGAAAGTATTTCTGGTGGAACAATTGGGATTCCTATATCATTGATCGTTTTAGGTTCACCAGCAACCGCCACCCCCACAACAGGTTCATATAGTTATCCTATTAAAGCGCACTTAACAGCTGTTTGTGTTACTGAATACTGGGAGAAGGTCAAGACAATCGTAATTTGCCGCTTCGTCGCGCGCGACCGTGGACACGGCGTTTTCTAGGTTTGCATAGCATGTCGACTGGAGCACTGGATTTTCGTATAGACCACGGCATCGTAAACATTTATAGTTATTAGTGGCTATGTATTACCTGTTGTCGCCATCTACCACCCAGAAACAGCCATTGGCAGGCGCGACATCGCACGCGACGCCCGCCTGTGATGCGAATTACGATTGTCTTGTCGCATATTTCTATATACTTGGGTATTGAGGAGAATGCCGTGATCACTGTCAAGAATTAATTAATCCTGAATTGCCTTGCATTTAATGTCCGTCCGCCAGTAGGTGTCTTGAGTGCGTTCATATTTAGTGTCAGCGTTTTTAGCGACCTGGAAAGCATTGGTAACGATCCAGCGTTTTAGCGTCTGCCAGCGCACGTTCGAAACACTGGGTCGTTACCTACACTTTCCTATTCGCTCAAACCGACGCAAATTATGAATGCACCCTTACAGTCTTCTCTATTTTAGGTACACCAACAGCAACCTCCACCCCCTCAACAGGTCTATACTTTTACTCAAAGGGCTCATATAATCGCTGCTTGTTTTGCTCTAACCACTCTTTCTAACTTTTGCCCTGACTAGGGTGTCCCGGATCAAGAAATTTTATTATCATTTAGTAATTGATACCTATGAAAGGCTCTTTATTCCTTTTATAGGTCCACCAACAGCAACAAGTTCCCCCACAGCAGGTTTCTGAATTTGTTCGCGTGAAGCTTATTTAACAACTGCTAACGTCATCTTAATGTCTTAGGCTACGTCCATACTTTGCGTCAACGTTTTCGGTGTACGCCAGCGTAAGGCAGCATTTCAGCGACTATGAAAGCGTTATCGACCTAGCGTTCTAAGTGTACGCGCGCCTCGGCAGCGTGTGATTGGGAAAGTATAGATATCGATCCAGCGTTTGCCCACGTTTTGGGTTTAAAGCCGCGAAAAGCTCAGAATGCTTGATCGATATCCACACTTTCCCAGTCGCTGAACATGCTGCTATACGCTCAGAACCAGGTTACTGTCAGCGTTGCCGTTCGCTCAAAACTTCTATGCAAAGTGCGAACGCAGCCAAGTTTGTTTGATGGGTTTATAATGCGGTGACCATTTGTATTGCTCAGCTTGAAAATGTTTTCTTGGTGGCCCGAAATGAGAATCCCATAGTGGTCTTCCATTCTAGGTCCATCAACAGCAACAACTTCCTCCTCAGCAGGTCGTTAAAAGTTAATTAGAAAGAACTCATCTGGTTTGGGTTCTGAGTGAAAAGTCTCATGAATCGGGACATGTTTGTGTCGTGACAACTGTGTCGGAAATTCAATAATCTCACCTATGTTTTATGTCAAGCCGAATGGTTTTTCATTTTATTTTCTTATTCCTTTATAGGTAAACCAACAACAAGCACCACCTCCACAGCAGGTTCTTATAGTTTCATGTTAAATATATGTTAACAGTGGCTTATTTGAATTAACTGCGTCAAGGGAAAGGTCAGAAGGGGATGATTGAGACTTTTCTCTGGTTGTCTGCGTCCTCTAAGGCCGAATTAACCCTGTATCGTTCTACCTAACCTTGTGGCGTAACAACAGGGTTGAGAAAAAATAAATTGAGGGTGATTTGGTATATGGGATCTACAATATGTTGTTATAGCAATTTTTATAGGTCCATCAACAGCAGCAACCTCCCCCTCAACAGGTTCTTATATTTGTCTACGAATTGCTAATCTAACTGTCGCTACTTTCTATTAAATATCTAAGAGTGTGTCCATACCTCACGGTATTAGCGTTTCGGTCGCTTCGATCGAAGCGTTTGGTGTCTCCTATCGATTGCGCTCGGTTTATTGAAGATTTCTTGCTTGTCCAGCTATTTGTGTCGCTACCTTCCGTCAGGACAACGTGTTTAGCTCACGGGGTGGTCTGTCTGCTCTGAACGCTGCCCGTGCTCTA